CTCCTCGTTCTCATTCCCATCTCCCCCGCAACCACCATTGGTCTCTTTGCTGTCTCCTTCAGATTGCTTGTTCTGTCTATCTTATATAGGTAGGCATTAAAAAAATAAAAAAAAAACAGGTCTAACTCCTGACCTTTGTGAATATGCCCCCAAACAATTCAGATGAGCATCCAAGTGCTGCCACCACCACCACCACCATCCCCAATGAGAAGTTTACTCTTGGGATACCTCCATGACTTGTGGCTTTGTTTCCATTGCTGATGTATTGTATTCCCCTCTTGGTTTGCCTCCATGTCGGGGGTTCAGATCAGTCTCATTCCCCACACTGTATCTTCATTGCTGTCTTCTATAGTCCTGTGATCTAGGAAGGAGAGGTCATGTCTCCAGCTGGGGCCAGCTCTGCCCTCCTTTCTGTGAACTAGCTGCTCCGAACAGGAACATCCCCCTCAATGCTTGGTGCACTAGAATGTGGTCTACTCTCCCCCTCTCTCTCTTAGTTTGTTCCCATGTGAATGGGACAGACCCGTTCTGTATTTCAGTACTGTCCTCCATATCACTTTCAGCTAGGGAGAGGGACATCTTACCTCAAGCCATGGCTGGGCTTGCTGTCCTCTCTGTTAGTCAGCTGTCCGTGCAGGTATGGCACCTTCAAGGATTGGTGAACTGGAAAGAGGTCTGCACTCTCCTTTTCCTGTGGTGATTTAAACAATACTCTCCCCTTGGATGGATTCTTGCCCACCTTACCCAATGCCAATTTTTCCTTCCCTCCTACCTCTGTGGGACTTAAAGTCATGATGTCTTTCAGACCGGGTCCTCTCTGAATTTTTTTTTTTAATGCCATTTGCATCCTTGGGTTTGCTCTGACCCCTTCCAGATACCTGGTCCTTAGCCTGGAGACTATGCAATCTGGTTATTTTTACCCATACCTGTTGTGCTGTTTGAACTTACCTCAGTGGACACATGTTGTATATGTCCTTTTGTGCTTGTCTAACTTCACTCAGCATAATTTCCTCCAACTCATGTTTTAATTGCTGCTTTTTAAGGATGCATGATACTTCGTTGTGTATGTATCAGAGTTTTTTTAATGCATTCGTCTATTGATGGAAAATTAGGTTGTTTACAATTCTTCGAGATTGTGAACTGTGACACTGCAAACATTGGAGTGCATGTGTCTGGTCATGGTCTATTGCTTATTCCTTCTGGGTATATTCCCAGTAGGGGAATTCCTAGATCATAAGGTAACTTGATTTCCATTTGTTTTAGGTATCACCAAATTGTTTCCCGCAGTGCCTGTACATATCTACAAGACTAGCAGCAGTGGATGAGAGTTTCCATCTCACCACACTCCTTCTATCATTTGTTGCATTCTGATTTTTTGAATTGAGTTAACTTTGAGGGTGGTGTTAGGTGGTATGTCATAGTTGTTTTAATTTGCATTATCTGGATGGCTCATGATCAGGAACATTTTCTCATATGTTTATTGGCCATTCAGGCTTTTTCATTTGTGAATCTTTTGCTCAGGTTTTTGCCCACCTCCTTAGTGGGCAATTCATTTTTTTTCTTATTATAGGTTTGCAGAGTTTTGTAGATTTTAGTAATAAGTCGTTTGTCTGATATGACATTGCCAAATATTTTTACCCAGTCTGTGAGTTCTCTTATTACTCTCTTGATGAAGACTTTTGAAGAACACAGGTGTGCTATCTTTAGTATGGTCCACTTGTCTATTTCAGCTTCCTGTGTGCGTGTATCATTCCCTATTTCTGGTAGCCTATGCATCCCCTGCACCAAGGTTCTCAGGTTTGTCCCAATTCTCTCATTGATGATCCTAATATCATCAATGGTTTACGGTTTTACCTCGAGGTCTGTGATCCATTTGAATTTGTTCTTATGTATGGAGTGAGGTAAGGATCTTGCTTCATTTTTCTGAAGGTATATAAGCAGTTCTTCTAGCACCCTTTGTTAAAAAGGGCACCCACTTCCAATTTGATGCTTTTAAAACCCTTATCAAAGAACAGTTGCCTGTATGCTGCTGAATTTATGTCTGGGTTTTCTCTTCCTTTCCATTGGTCCAAGTATCTGCCATTATACCAGTACTGTGGCTGTTTTGACAACTGTGGCTGTTTAATAAGTTTTAAAGCCAGGTAATGCAAGCCGTCTGACTTTGTTCTTCTTGAGGAGTTCTTTGCTAATTCTGGACTTCTTCCCATTCCATGTGAAGTTGGTAGTCAGTTTTTCCATTTCTTTAAAAAACATGCTGGTGTTTGTATCAGCATTGCTTTGAACTAAAATAGCGCCCTTGGGTAGGATTGACAGCTTTACAATATTGAGTTTTCTGATCCATGTGCATGAGATATACTTACATCTGTGAAGGTCACTTGTGTTTTTTTATAATAATTTTCTGTAGTTGTCCTAATACAGATCTGTTTTTGTTTGTTTGTTTGGGGGTTAGATGTATCCCTAAATATCTCAAGTGTTTGCTTGGTTCTTGTGAAGGGTGCTACCTTCTTGATCTCCATTTCTGTGATCTTATCTGATGTAGATAGCAAGCCAATTGACTTTTTTGTTGTTGATTTTGTAACCTGCCACTACTCTATTGTTTCCAGCATTCCCAGTGTGGAGCTTTTGGGATTTCAATTTATAGAATCTTGTAATCTGCAATTAATGATAATTTCACTTCCTCTTTCCCCAGGTAAATACTTTTAATCTCCTTCTGTTGCCTTATGTTTTTAGCTAGGAACTCCAGAACGATGTTGAATAGAAATAGGGACAAAGGGCATCCATGTTTGGTCCCCTTTTTTCAGTGGGATTGTTTTTGTCTTTTCTACATTGACAATAACATTGGCTGTTAGTTTTCCATATATAGCTTGTATTATATTGAGGTAGTTCCCTTCCAATCCTATCTTTTTGGGTGCTTTTTTAAGAGTGGGTGTTGAATGTTGTCAAATGCTTTTTCTGTCTATTGATATTATCATGTGGTTCTTGTATTTTGTCTTGCCCATGTGATGGATAAGATTAATGAACTTTCAGAAGTTGAAGCATCCCTGCATCCCTGTAATTAATCCCATTTTGTCATGATGAATTATGAATTATTCATTTTATATACATTTATATTCTAAGTGCATCCATTTTTTAAAATTATGACTACTCTTTGCTTCATTTTATTTTTAATTTCTCCCAAGTAATTACATTATGAATCAGTGGGTGTTCCAAACATAGTTTAATGAATGTTTGAATTTCATGTCATAAGTTTTGTTTAAATATTCTACATTCCCACTATGTTTTTAACAAACATACAATAAAGTTGTCTAAGAAACTTAATTGGGTCCTTACAATGACAGAAATCAAAATCAGCAACTTAAATCACATACATCTTGGCACAGGGGTTAAACAATGAAGAAATAATACTATTGTTTACAGGATGAATCATGGCAAAAATAGCATGTAGTACAATCTTGGATAAGGATTAGCTAGCTCAGTATACACATCCAACATGACGGTTACTGAAGTGAATTGAAAAAATTGAAAATATAATCAAATGATCAAAAACATAAAAATTTTTTAAACATAGAGTTTAAAATCAATGTTCATTGTTTAATGTGTGGGAGAAGCATATCTCCAAATATCTTTTATAATAATGGAGGACAGCATTCTTGTAAATGTCTTATTTGGAAAGTTAATGGTACCAATATATACTCACACACGGGATGAGATGATGACTGTTTGTATGTATGTATACTTTATGTATCACAGTTCAATCACTGCTGAACATGACTGAGTTCATTCAAAACATGGCTTTCCTTTTATTCTTGATTGCACATGCTCTTTCACTTTTATTTATGTCTTTCTGCTTTTAGAATAATGCATTAGAAATCCCTTTATTTAGGATTGTGCAGCTATGGCTGACTTTGACATTGTTACAGAGCTGTTCCTGTAGACAGTCAAAGTTCATAAAGGAGGAAATGCATTTATTAGTATTTAATCCCCAGTCTACCTCCCCCGGCATCTTATCTAGCCTTGTAGTGTTGCTCAATTACACCAGTAACTTGAAAATCAAAGGGCATTTGTGCTTATCCAGGCTATTTTTGTGTTCAACTTCTATTCTTTTATTGCCATTCTTGGATTCTGTTATTCAGAAATTGCCAAATGAGTTAGCTGTCGTTGTAACTGTCGTTGTAAATTTCCTAGAAAATCTGTTTTTCACAGAGTTTACTCAGAATCACATTTCGAATCTGCTGACTCTTCACAGCATAAACAATGGGATTCATTAGAGGGGGAACAAGGAGGAGGATATCAGCTATAATGATCCTAATCACTTGAGATTTTTTCCTGCCAAAGCGATGAAGGACAGCCAAGGTGATGATAGGCACGTAGAAGACAAGAACAGCACAGATATGGGAGATGCAAGTGTTCAGGACTTTGAGGCGACTTGTGCGTGATGCCATGCCCAGAACAACTTTCAGGATTAGCATGTAAGACAAAGCAATGAATGTCAAGTCTAACATAGCCATAAGAGCAACAATAAAACCATAAATGATATTGACCTTGTTATCAGAACAGGCCAATTTCATGACATCCTGGTGGAGACAGTAGGAGTGGGAAAGACGGCTTTTATTACAGAATTTTAGCTGTTTTAGAGTTATAGGGAAAGGTAGAATAAAGAAAATACACATTATAGTGTTCAGAACACTGATTTTCAAGACCCTGGCACCTGTAAGGATGGAGGTGTATCTCAGGGGGTTATTAATAGCTATGAATCTGTCTACAGACATGATAAAAAGTACAGTTGACTCCATGGCTGAGAACACGTGAATGAAAAACTCTTGGGCAATGCAAGCATCTGGGGAAATCCCTGTGGCATTGAACAAGAAGATTCTCAGCATAGTTGGAAGGGAAGAAATGGACAGTCCTAGGTCAGAAACTGCCAGCATGGAGAGGAAGTAATACATGGGCTCATGCAGTGAGGCCTCCGTCTTTATGAAAAAGAGGATGGTGCTGTTTCCCAGGATTCCAAAGAGGTAAATGAGGCAAATGGGGATTGAAATCCAAACGTGGGCATATTCCATTCCTGGGATCCCAATCAAGAAGAAAGTAGAGATTTCTACTTCTGAAGAGTTGAAGACTAACATGGAAGGAATGTGCGGGCAACAGGGTGGAAATTTTTGATGAGGTTTCCTGTAATGACAAGCACACATTATCTTAGCTGTGTTTGTTTCAGTAGTCTGAGATTTTACAATATTCAGATTCCAGATATTAATCTTAACAATTCTAAAACTAGGACAAAATGTTCTATGTAATATGGTCTGTGGTAACATCATGACCTGTATAATCAAGATAATAAGAAAAACCATAAAACTATATTAATCTCCACATATAAACACCAACACAGAAAAAATATTACATATATTCATCTTGTCCTCTGCATACAGTAAAGAGGCATCAAACATTTCAATTTAATATCATTTTAATGATAAAAATTATAAATATTTTAATAGAATTGAAAATATTTGTGTATTTGAAAACACAACAAGAAATCAAAAAAGAACACAGAATGAGAAAAAGTATTCAAAATAATATATCAAAGTTTGTACCCATATTATATGAAGAACCTTACAACTTAAGAATAAACATACATAAATATTCTATACAATTATTCATTTAGAAAATGCAAGTCAAAACCATAATGAGATGTCATTTCACACCATATGATGGTTACATTAAACAAAATAAATTACAATTAGGCAATAATGAGTCAGTTCAAAGTTGAGTTCAAGTTTCAATTTCTGTCATCAAGCAATGAAATGGTATGTCAAAATGACTCAGCCAGTTCAGAAAAATAGTTTTCCAATTATTCTGTATGTTAAGCAAAGTTAACTCAGACATTACGCTCCTAGCTATACATCCAGCAGAAATAAAAATAAAATGATCACAAATTAATTTTTTAAAACACACACAAGTATTATTCAGTGTTGTCAAAAAGTGAGAGCAACCCACTGTCCATTGATTGATGGACATATAAGAACTATGTCCATGTACTGTAATATCTTCAGTAATACATTAAATACTGATATATGCTGCAAAATTGATGAGCCTTGAAAACACTGTGTTGTGTGAAAGAAGCCAGAAACAGTAGGACAAAACAGTGTATTATTCAATTTGCATAAAATGTATAATATAGATATAATCATAGAAACAAAAAATAGGTTAATGATTTTAAGGAGCTGAGGAAGGAAGAAAAATGGGGACTCATCACTAGTACATGTGCAATTTATTCTGGAGTGATAAAATTGTTCTAAAATTAGTGGCGAAAATTAAACAAATCTCTAAATATGATTTTTAAAAACCCCACATTTAACTATATACAGTAAAAGAGTGATTTTGATAGGCATGAATATTTGTCAATAAAGTTATTACACATAAGTTGAAACTGTATACTAAAATATGTATCTTTGTGATTCTTTTATAAGTTACATATTATATGTAAAATCAGTCCTTATATATTGAAGTTATATTTTATATATTAAAGGTATATCTCAAAGCAGTTACATATTAAAACTACAATAGGGAAATAGTTAACCGAAATCACTGACAAGCCATGTTGTCCCAGCTACATAAATTTAAATATATAATATGGAGCATTGTCTGATAAAATGCTGACAGTTTTCTTCTTGAATTGGCAGACACTCAAAATGGGACTGGGAAAGAGTTGCCTACTCACAGTAGATTCGCCCTTAATGACATAAAGCTTTTGAGACCTACACTTATTGATGTGGGAAGACTGAATATTAAATGAAATGGCTGCAAAAATCCATTACTAATCAGAAAGATCATTGGATGCATAAATTATAAACCTAGGAAAATTGGAAGTTGAAAAAAGAGATGTATCATACCAATATCAGTACCCTTGGCATTAGTGCGCTGAAATGGATAGGTCTGGGCCAATTTGCATTGGACAAACATACCATTTACCATCCCAGAAATGATAAACTGACAAAGAAGGAAGTTTCATGTATCCTCAAAAAGAACCTTTCAAGTCCCTAAAATAAAACTTTTCAAAGTCCATTCTGAAAATAATCAGGGATATGATAATATCCATATAATGTAGTCAAGTTTATTTCATTATAATTCCATGCAGCTATGCAGCTAACATTCAGATCAAAGAAAATACATAGAAGATTTTACTAAATTCTATATCCTGAAGTTAAATAAACATGCAAACAAAATACATTGATATTTCCTGGTAATCAGAAGGTGAAATTTTGAAACAACAAGAAAAAAGAAGATTGGCATTTATAAAATATGGCTTGTGTGACAGAAAAAAGACATCATATGATAGAATTTTGTATAAACAACAATTTATTCACTACAAATATTTTTTCAACATTGTAAATGGTGACTCTATGAATGCAGTGTCAGGATTACAGGAAGGATTCAAATAATCTACATCTGTAGAAAGAGATAAAAAGCTCAAATCAACAGGCAGAACATGACTGATAAACATACCTTTGATTGCTCATGTGAACATTCAAGTTAAAGTCACAGTGGATGAAAGCAGATTCATAAAAGCCAAAGAGTGACTAGTATACTCCCCCTGGAGTTAGAGTCCATCTGAAAAATCGAGGAATCCTATGAAGTATTGCCAGAAGTGAGGCTGACAAGACTTTGTCTCACATGCTTGGGACGCATTGTGTGAGACTTTGGGAGAACAGTCCCTGGAGGATGCCATGTTGGGGAAGCTAGGGGGCAGCACAAAAGAAGGCAAACGGTGGATTGAAAGGGGCTGCAACAATAGGTTCAATGAGTAGTGTCTCGTTCTGTTGAATATAGAGACACCGGGAATTGGAACCGACTCGGCACTCAACAACAAAAACAATGGTCGAAGACCAGACAAATTGTGGAATGACATCAAGAACATAATAAACTAAGACAGCAATGGGTCATTTGACAGGTAAGGGGAAAAAAGATCTCAACATAGATCAATATATTCTGATATCATTATAGATATTAGAAGAGACTCAGAAACTTGGTTTTGTGCTGTTGTTAGGTGCCTTCAAACTAGTTCTCATTCTCAGTGACTCGGACAACAGAAGGAAACACTGCTCCTCCTGTGCCATCCTGACAACTGTTGCAGCCACGGAGTCCCTCCATCCTGCTCAGGGTCTTCTGTTTACTGCCCTTGTTCATTACCAAGCACGATGTCCTTTTCCAGGGACTAGTCTCTGCTGGTAGCATGATTCAAGAAGAGAGATGAAGACTTGCCACCCTCATTTGTAAAGCACGTCCTGGACATACCTCTTCAAATACAGACATATTTGTTCTTATGGCAGTCCAATACTTTCAGATATTTACTGCAAGCACCTTAATTCAAATGCATTGATTCTTCTTCAGTCTGCCTTATTCAACAAGCCACTTTCACATGTATATGAAGTGAATGAAAACACTATGGCTAGAGTAAGGCACACCTTAGTCCTCAAAGTAACATTCTCATTCTTCCACAATTGAAAGGCTGCAATTTTAAAGGGGTTTTTTTGCAACAGATTTACCCGATGTAATGTGTCCTTTTCATTCTTTACTGTTGCTTCCATGAGCATTGCTTGTGGATGAAAGCAAAATGCAATCCTGGCACCTTCAGTCTGCCTCCATCTTTTATGATGGTATCTGTTTGTTCAGTTGTGAAGAGTTTTAGAGTCGTTACCTTGGGGTGCCATCCATTCTGTAGGCTGCAGTCCTTGATCTTCATCACTAAGTCCTCCGGACTGTCAGCAAGTCACGTGTCCTCAATCTATTGCACTTTGTCAATAAACCTTCCTGCAAAAGCAACACTGCATTCATTCTCATACGTCCAGCTTCTCAAATTATTTGCTCAGCATACAGATTGAAAAACACAGTTAAAGTATTCACATCTGACACCCACTTTTCCTGGTTTTAAACCAAGCAGGATTTTCCTTTGTTCTGTTCAAATGACTGCATCATAGTCCTCCTGAGAACAATGAAGAGTTCTGGAATTCCACTTTGTTTCAGTGTTATTCACAGCGTGCTATGATCCACACAGAAGAATGCCTTTGCATTGTCAATAAAATACAAGGCAATGTCTTTCTAGTATTCTCTGCTTTTAGTCAAAACCCAGCTGACTTCAGCAATGCTGTCCCTTCCACATTCTCTTCTGAATCTAGCCTGACTTGCTGGCAGTTCTCTGTCAATGTACTGCTTCAACTGTTGTTCAATGAAGTTCAGCAATATTTTACTTACATGTGATATTAATGAAATTGTTTGACAATTTCTCCATTCACCTCTCTTGAGAATGAGTACAAAGAAAAATGAATCTCTTCCAGTTGATTTGTCATGCCAGGTAGCTGTTTTCCACTTATTTTTATATAGACAAGTGTGTGCTTCTATTGCTTCATTAGCTTGTTGAAACACTTCCATCAATTTATGGAGATAGGTTTTTAGCTAATGTCTTCAGTGCTGCTTGGAATTCTTCCTTTACTATCATCGATTCTTGATCACAACTTGAAATAGTGGAATGCCAACTTGTCCATTTTGGTATATTGAATTTGTGTATTCCTTCCATCTCCTTTTGATAGAGCCTGAATAGTTCAATATATTCCCCATCGAATCTTTCAACATTGCAACTCCAAGCATGATAATATGTTGAGCATATTCTTTTTTAGGTTTTCTGACCCCAAATCTTTGCATATTTTACTACAGAACATTGTATTCTGTGGTTGTCCTTTAAAATTTCCTGTTTAGTTGTTGTTACTGTTCTTTTAATTTTACCATTTGTTTCATTTACGTTAGCTAGCCTACAACCAAGAGTAAGTTTCAGTCTCTTCTGATATTCACTTTGATTCTTTTTTTAAAATCATTTTATAGGGACTCATTAATGACCTTTTGCTTTCTTCATGTATGTCATTCTTGATGGCATCCCACAGCTGATCAGATCTTCTGCCATTAGTGTTCAATGATACATATTCATATTTGAGATGCTCTCAAAATACAGGTAAGATACACACAAGGTCATATTTTGACTTTCATGAACTTATTTTAACTTTCTTCAAATTCAGCTAGAATGTAGATGTGAGCAACTGATGGTCTGTTTCACTGTCAGCGACTGGTGTCATTTTGGCAGATG